TTTATTTATTTTTGGGACAGAGAGAGACAGAGCATGAACGGGGGAGGGGCAGAGAGAGAGGGAGACACAGAATCGGAAACAGGCTCCAGGCTCTGAGCCATCAGCCCAGAGCCCGACGCGGGGCTCGAACCCACGGACCGCGAGATCGTGACCTGGCTGAAGTCGGACGCTTAACCGACTGCGCCACCCAGGCGCCCCATGGAAACCACTTTTTAAAAAACACTTTGCCTCTGTTCTTTTTTGGTAGATGACAATGAAGGAGACAAAAAGAAAAAAGATAAGAAGAAAAAGAAAGGAGAAAAGGAAGAAAAAGAGAAGGAGAAGAAAAAAGGACCTAGCAAAGCCACAGTTAAAGCTATGCAAGAAGCTCTGGCTAAGCTTAAAGAAGAAGAAGAACGACAAAAGAGAGAAGAGGAGGAACGCATAAAACGGCTTGAAGAGTTAGAAGCTAAACGTAAAGAAGAGGTATGTTTTCATGAAGTTGTGTTTAATTTAAAGTCTGTGCTCTGTAAGATATCTTTAATCTTCTTATTCTAAAAAATGTCATAGTTGTATGGTAATTCAATTACATTATTATTCAGATGTAAACAATAAGATGAAGCAATATAGAAAATTCTACCTTTATTTACTTAGGTGCAGAAGTTGGTTATATATCCACTCCAATACTTGGTCTACTCTCATATGATGTTAATTAATAATTATTATGTACACTGTTGAAGTATTTTCATTTGTGGCATCTGGGTATTTCAGTCAGTTAAGCATCCAACTCTTGATTTCAGCCCAGGTCATGATCTTACAGTTTGTGGGTTCGAGCCCTGCATTGGGATTCTCTCTCTTCCTCTCTCTCTGCCCCTCTTTGCTCGTGTTGTTGCAAACATAATTAAGTAAACATTTAAAAAATAATATTTATTTTCATTTGGGTATTCATAATGTAATACTTTGCATGTATTTCAAGAGCTTTGTTTGAATTTGTGTTCTTGACATTTAAATTTCATAATTATGTCAATACAATTTTTGTCTGATATGTACTCCTATGCAGGAAAGACTAGAACAAGAAAAGAGAGAAAGGAAAAAGCAAAAAGAAAAAGAACGAAAAGAACGCTTGAAAAAAGAAGGGAAACTTTTAACTAAATCCCAGAGAGAAGCCAGAGCCAGAGCTGAAGCTACTCTTAAACTTCTACAAGCTCAGGGTAAGTAGTATTTTTAACTAACTGAATAGTCTAGAAGCTTCTGTCATGCAGTTATAGGTCTGTAATGGTCAAAAGGAGAGTAGAAGTCAGAGAATTTCTAGGAAAATGCTGTGGAAAAAGTCAAATAAAAATGTAAAGAAGAGGGACACCTGGTTGGCTCAGTTGGTAGAGCATGCATCTCTTGGTTTCAGGGCATGCATTCAAGCCCCAGGTTGGGTATAGAGCTTACTTAAAGAAAAGTGTAAAGAACAGGTAAGATAATTACATTATTTAGGGAGGTGACTTCTATATGATGATGAAAATTTATGTGTAAATGATAGTATGTCTGTAAATAAGTTTTTGTTTCCCCCACAATAAACAAAGAGAATACAGTAAAATCAATCACCAAGTGTCTGTTACTCAGTTTCAACAATTGTCAGTATTTAACCGTTCTTGTTTTCTCGCTCTCCACTGACTTTTTTTCCTCAAGTATTTTAAAGTGAATTTTAAACACCATGTTATTTTACTCCTTTTTACTTTATTATTTTACTCCTATTTTACTAACAAATGAGGACTTTTTTTTTTTTACATTAAGTAGATTTTGTATTACATATAACAAAATTAATTTCTCAATAGCATCTGGTTGTATATGTATAGTTTTTCCTCTTATATCCACAGTGTTTTTTATAATTTGTTTGTTTGAATCAGGATCCAGATTAGATCCACACGTTGCCTTTGGTTGATATGTCTGTCTCTCACTGATACTATTACCCATTCTTGGTTTTGGTATGCCATTTATTAGTTGTAGATACTGGGTTATTTGGAATTTCTCATATTCTGAATTTGTTTAATTGCGTTCTCCTGGTCTTGGCTAATAAACTTCTCTATCTGTTAAAATTTCCTATATATAGCAGCTTGGCTTTTCCAAGTGGTACTATGTACTTCCTGTTGCCTCATGTCTGGAGGCATGTGATCTGGTTGTCTTACTTTTGGTGATACCAAGATTGATTATTGGGTTAGGTATTGGCAGCTTTGTCCATTATACAAGTAATCCACTGATTTTTCACCTAATAATTTAATATCCAATTAGTGATCATTGCCTGTATCAAGGAGCTCATTAGGAATTGCAGAGTTGTGATATACTGTCATTCCTTTTGCATTTATTAGCTATAATCTTTGTTTAAAGAAAAACTTTCCCTGAAATACAGTTCACTCAGGAAAGCCAGGATAAATGCTTAATTATTTTCCTTCATTAATCCTCAGGATAATAAATTGATGTCTCAGCAACTTCCAAAGGTGATCAGTGAGTGTAATTTTGTTTTTTGGATCTGTATTATTTTAATGGGGTTTTATGTAATTTACATGTTTTTATCTCATGAAATCATTTATATTTTTTAATACTCAAAATTGTCCCATCTTTGGCCAGCGGGACCTCATTTAGTTTGGTCCCTCCGATTTTTTCCACACAACCACAGTATTCTTTGACCTCTACCTCACTTTCTAACACAACAAGGTATCTATGGTACATCTTACACATTTTCTGCCCTAGACCTGAAATCACCTGTTTATACAAGGAGCCCTAGTTCTTTTAGTTTAGAGACCGTAATCTGGACGTGTAATTATGTTTCTGACAGATAAGATGATTTAAAATAGTTTCTCTGCTCCATTGAGAAGAATATTGAGAAGAAGACCTCTCTTAATTTCTTGTTCTTACATTTCACAGATTTTTATATGACTAATTTTGGTGCTTTTGCTATAATTACAGTAATAGGTACCATTTATTGCGTATTTATTAAGTAACTGATATTGTCATAAACCTTTGACATTGTCTCTTTCCTTATAAGAATCTAATAAGTATTTTCATTCCCATCATTCATTCCCAAATTCCAAGTTTAAATTTTTTTTTTTTCAACGTTTATTTATTTTTGGGACAGAGAGAGACAGAGCATGAATGGGGGAGGGGCAGAGAGAGAGGGAGACACAGAATCGGAAACAGGCTCCAGGCTCTGAGCCATCAGCCCAGAGCCCGACGCGGGGCTCGAACTCCCGGACCGCGAGATCGTGACCTGGCTGAAGTCGGACGCTTAACCGACTGCGCCACCCAGCCGCCCCCCAAATTCCAGGTTTAAACTGTTTGCCCAGTGTCATGGAGCTGAGATTTAAACTGATCTGTGTGACCACCTCTTTATTATGCATTATATGTTCAGCTGGCAGCAGTAAATGTAGAGAAACACAGTACTTGGATCAAAAAGTTTATTCTTAATTGGGGATGTAGTTTTTTAAAGATGAAATTAGAGAACAAATATGAGTACAACTAGCACCCAGATACGAGATTTGACTGGTGACTATTTGGATGTCTAAAAGCACTCATGTAGAAATTGGGATGGGACCAAGCAGGGAATAATTTTCCATTCTTAGAAATGTTTTATGGAGTAGTTTGACTTGTACTTATGAGATTAGATGAAAATTATAATTAAGTAGACACTGCCCTCAATGTGGGGCTTGAACTCATGACCCTAAGATCAAGAGCTAGCCAAGAACCGCCCCCCCCCCCCCGTAATTTAATATGATGATCATTAGGACGGGTTTGGAAGAGATGGTCTCTCGAGTGGCATCTCTCCCCTTGGGCTCTTATTTTTCATAATGTTGCTCAATATTTGTCCTCTTACTGATTCCCAATGTATTGATAAAAAGTCCAAGCTCCTTAGCTTGATATTAAAGGCCTCCATAGTATGCTCATTGAGTCATCTCAAAAGAAGCTATAGTGTTTTGTTTCACTGTATCTTTCAAAGCTACCTTGTTGGGTAAAGATCAGGTACCACATTCATTACCTAGAACAATATAAAACTTATTTATTGAGCCCAAAATGTGTTTGAGAGTGTAGGTATCTGCCGGTGTTTTCTGATAATTACTCTGAATCGTGTAGCAGATAGCATTTTCAGTCAGTTCTATAGCCTTTAGCCTATTAACTACTAACCGTATAGCAAGTACTTTACAAATAATTTGAAATTAATTCACTTCAGGCAAAGACTTTCTGTGTGAATTTGATTGTAATAATCTCAGTTTGCAAGGTGAATGGAATATCTGAACACACGTTGATGTTGACTACAAATATAACAGTTTATTAAACATTCCCTAACTCGAAGAATAGTCTGTTGATTAAGTCTGCAGTGTTGTTGTGACCACCCTTCAGTTCATATAACTTACAGTTTCCCCTCCCAGGTCCCTGCTTTTACTTACTAGGGGTAGGCTGCTGGGCAGGGATATCTCTGGTCAACTGGATTATCTCCACATTGTCAGCTGGCTTTATCCTTTTATTTTAGTTTGTCTTACCAAATGATAGCTCTGATTTTATAATTCTGGCCAATCTCATTACTTACATACATGCGTTCATTCAGTACTTTAAAGTTAAGAACATTTTAAGTGATTTCTTTCTGTTAATGACTTCATTCAAGACCCCACAGTAAATAGTTTTTATTGTTTTATAAAATTTCTGCCCTATGTGAGACTGTGTCAGTAATCCAGCAAATGGAAAGTAACCTCTCTTAGGAGTTTGTTATAGGAATGGAGAGGAAGGATTGTAATAGAGAACCATTCCATGTCTGGGATTTACTAGTAACTGTTGACTGATGAAGATGTATTCTCCTCAGATTCAGTAATGTTACTTGCAGATCAGATTTGACATTGGTTTGTACTGCCATGTCTTAATTTGACAAAATTTATTTGTTTGCCCTATTTAAGAGAAAATATGAAGTGTTCAAAACTGGATAGTAAGAACCATGAATTCAAATAAAAACAGATTTGTGATCTGACACTAACCTTTTCATTTTGGATAAGTCACTTTCTCATTGAATCTTACTTTTGACCAGCTTTTGACCAGCTGTGAAGCTGGCCATAGTTGAAAAAAAGTAAACTTAATGACTTTGTTTTGTAATGGTAATGAAACTTCTGTTATACTTAGTTTTTTATTTGTATTGTAACAAATTTAGTAGCTTAAAAAGGCACAAAATTTATTACTTTGAAATTCTCTAAATCAGATGTCTGATGTGGGTCTCACTGGTTTAAGGTGTTGGCAGGCCTGCATTCCTTTCTGGAGTTTCTAGGGTAGAACCAATTCCCTTGTTGTCTTCTAGAGGCATTCATATTACTTGGTTCATGATGCCCTTCTTTCATTTTCAGAGCCATCAGTATTGCATAATGCTGACTATTTTTCCATGGGTACATCATCCTCTGACTTCAGCCTGTACCTCAGAGAAAGGTTCTTCATTTTTAAAGGATCTCATGCAGTTGATTAGGTTGGGCTCACTTGGATAATCCAGGATAATGTCTCTCATCTCAAGTCCTTAGGCTTATTCACATCTGCAGTGTCTTTTTTGCCATGTTAGGTAACATATTCACATGTCCTGGGGATTAAGACCTGGATGTTTTGGGGCAGGGGGAGGCATTATTCTATTTACTATGCACTTAATTTTCATCTTATTTGTGAGTTCATTACAAAGAAAACATTTTGTGAGTGTCATGTTTTCACTGTATCTTTCAAAGACCAAAATACAGATTTTTAAATATGTTTATGTTAAATGTTTAAATAGAGATCAGTGACCATATTACTCTGAAACATGCTGGAGGTTACCTGATGCTATTTATTTGCCGTGTCTTGTTACTTTAGTGCTTAAATTGGAGAATTCAAGACAAAGAAGGCTGATTAATTATATTGATGATGAAAAGGCATATAAATAGTAGCATATTTTTCATTACTACTAAAGTATTTGGAAGAATAGGTGTTAAATTAGGATCTACTCTGGGGCGCCTGGGTGGTTCAGTCAGTTGGGCGGCCGACTTCGGGTCGGGTCATGATTTTGCGGTCCATGAGTTCGAGCCCCGCGTTGGGCTCTGTGCTGACAGCTCAGATCCTGGAGCCTGTTTCAGATTCTGTGTCTCCCTCTCTCTGACCCTCCCCCATTCATGCTCTGTCTCTCTCTCTCTCTCAAAAATAAATAAACGTTAAAAAAAAAAATTAGGATCTACTTTTAATTTCTCTTGTTTCTGTCAGATTGTTAGAGGCATTTATTCTGAAGTGAAAAGGATAGATTAAAGGTGGAATTTACCTTTTTTTCAACTGTGGCTTCATTTTGGATTTTCTAAATTTTATTGTCTGTTTCAGTTCATAGTCCAAAATTTATGGAGTAAGTAGAGCTAGTGAAGGTTTTTGTGGACCTTGTGGGAGATGTGGGAAAAGGAGTTGTAGAATTTCTGTCCTTTCAGCTGTGAAATTCTTTATATATTTTTACAAAATTTTTAAAGCTTATTTATTTTGAGAGAGAGTGAGCTAGGGAGCACAAGTAGGGGGAGAGGCAGGGAGAGAGACTCCCAAGCAGGCTCTGCATTGTCAACGCAGAGCCCTGCACAGGGCTTGATCCCACAAACCATGAGATGACCTGAGCCCAAATCAAGAGTTGGATGCTTAACCCACTGGGCCATCCATGCACCGCTGTAAAATTCTTAAATTTCTTTGTTCACTTTGAATTGCATACATTGTTGAATGATCATTATTTTTTTTTGTGAGAATTTTTTTAATATTTATTTATTTTGAGAGAGAGAGAGAACGAGAACACAAGTGAAGAAGGGGCAGAGAGAGAGGGAGACACAGAATCTGAAGCAGGCTCTAGGCTCTGAGCTATCAGCACAGAGCCCGATGTGGGGCTCAAATTCACAAACTTGTGAGATCATGACCTGAGCCGAAGTCGGATGCTTAACCAACTGAGCCACCCAGGCATTCCGAATGATCATTATTTTTAAAACAGAGTGGTGCACACATGGTTACTTCTTTTTGAAGAGAGGAGTCAGGGAAAGGGGTCTCTGATGTCTGAAGAGTTTGAAGGGACTCCCCCCCTTTTTTTTTTTTTTAACTTTTGAGGCCAAATAGCAGCTCCACTTAAATGGAACTTCAAAACATAAAGGGTAAAGTTCTGAGAGTACCTCATATTTTTTGGCCAGAGGGACGAGAGGGGCTCCTGGGAGCCAGAGAGTGTAGGGGAAATTGCAGGGTGGGGGAGAAGTGACAGAAGAATCCTATAATTCTGTTGATGAATGGACATAAATCCTAGGCTTACTATATAGTTCTGTGTGTTTAGAAGAGACCCAAAAAAGGATAGTCAAAACTTTAAGAACTAATCCATGATATAAACCAGTGCCCAAGACCCATATTTACCTCTATGGCTCATGTATGTACCAGGTAAAATACTGATTCTAAGTATACTGTGGAAAGTCTGTTATAAATGTTCTAATTTCTGTAGCAGCCATTAAATAAGATTAAAACTAAAAGTTAGTAGATAAATTAAAAAGGAAATCTAAAGTATATTCAAATAATCCACAAGAAAGCAGGAGAAGGTGAAAAGGGAAATGGAAAACAGAGGTAACAAATCAAATAATAAAATGATAGACTTAAAACCAACTGCATTAATAATTAAAATATGAATAGTCTAAAGATACCAATTAAAAGAGACTGTCAGAAACCAAGAGCCAGCTAGCTATGTGCTGTCTGCAGTAAATCCACTTTAAGTGTACTGATATAGATAAAGTGGTAAAAACAGATACAAAAGAAAGCTGAAGTTGTTATATTAATCTGAAGTACTTCAGAACAAGTAAAATTACCAAAAATAAAGACCTACATTGCATATGATAAAAAGTGAATGCCTCATAACTTTATAACAATCTTATGTGTACCTAACTACAAGTTCACAAACATTCACCAAAATAGACCATTTTTGGGGAGCCATAAAATAAATCCTAAAACATTTAAAAGATTTGAAATCTTACAGTGTTTTCTGGGGGACCAAAACAGAATTAAACTAGAAATGAATAATAGAAATATATCTACAAAATCAGTAAATATTTAGAAATTAAACCACATTTCTTATTAACCCCTGAGCCCAGGAGAAACTCTTATTGAAAATTAGAAAATATCTTGAATTAGAAGAAAAAAAAAAAAGAAGGAAAACACAGCATATTAAAATTTGTGGGGTGCAGCTAAAGCAGTTCTTAGAGGGGAATTTGTAGTATTAAAATGCTTGTTTTAGAAAAAGAAGGTCTCAAATCAATAGTCTAAGCTTCCCATTTAAACTAAAAAAGAAAAAGAGGCAGAAAGAAAAATGCAGAAAACAATGTAGTATAAAACAAGACTTAATAGAGAATCATTGAAACCAAAAGTTAGTACTTTGAAAAGATCAATAAAAATGATAAACTTCTAGATTGGCTAAGAAGAAAAAAGAGACAAGACACAAATTACTGATACCATGAGGAAAGAGTGGGGAGGGATATCATCATTACAGATTTCCAGGTGTTAAAATGATAAAACAATATAACGAACAGCTCTGTGCTAATAGATTGAAAAGCTTAAGATAAAATAGGGCCATTCCTTAAAAGACACAAACTGTCAAAACTTAAAATCTATCATGATGAAGTGGATTTTATCCTGGGAGTGAAGGCTGGTTCCATTTTGAAAATCAGTAAATGTGTTTAAAGAAGCAAAACTACATGGATGCAGAAAAATCATTTGACAAAATTCAGTAAGCATATATGATAGAAATTCACAAAATAGAAAAGTTCCTTATTTTGCTAAAAGAGATCTACAAAAAAAATACACAGTTGTTGCACTTAATGATGAATTATGGCTGCTAAACCCTAATATTGTAATTAAGGCAAGGATGTCCATTCTCACCACAATCATTCCACATTGTACTGGAACATCCTAGAGTTGTAATTAGGGGAAAGAAAGAAAAAAAAGTAAAAGACATACAGATTGAAAGGAAGAAGTAAAACTCTATTTACAGATGACAATTGTTTACATAGAAACTACTGTGAGATACCACTGAAAAAACATGAAACCCTACAACCAATAAGTGAGATTAACAAAGTTATAGATAGGGCCAGCATGCAAATACCAATTGTATATCTGTATGCTAGCCATTAACAGCTGAAAATCAAAACCGTATTATTTACAATAGCACCCCACCCCAAAAATACATTGAAACAGTTATAATTCTAATATTTGTGGGACCTATATGCTGAAAACTATAAAAAAAAAAAACACGGACGAAAATAATCAGAGAACTTTGTAAATGGAGAAATGTTGCATTCATGGATAGGAAAACGATATTGTTAAGATAATCAGTTCTCCGAAATGATCTGTAGATTCAGTGCAATCCCAGTCAGCAGTAGGATATTTTATGAGTATCTATAAGCTATTTCTAAAGTGTGTATGAAGAGATGAAGGAGTTAGAATGGCCAAAATAATTTTGAAAAGAATATACTTGAAAGACTCAGAATATTGTACCTGATTTCAAGACTTACTGTAAAGCTGCAGTCATCAGTACAGTGTGATAATGGCAAAAGCAGCAATAAAGACAAATAGATCAATATAATAGTCTGTATATGGTCAGTTTGTTTTTTTCTGTCATAGGTAAAATGCAGTTTATTAAGTAAAATACAGTATTAGCAACAACTGATACAATTGGGAATCTATATGCAAAAACAAAAACCCAAAAGCCTCGTCGTAACTCTCATTAAATAAAAATTAACACAAAAGTCATAAATCTAAATATAAAATGTACAACTATAAAACTTTAGGGGAAAACATAGTAGAAAGTCTTTGTGACCTTGTGTTAGTGATTAGTTTAACTTCAAAAGCATAATTCATAAAAGGAACAAATATGAGGAAGTCCAGTTAAAAACTTGTTCTGCAAAAGACACCATTGAGACAGTTCAGAGACAGTACCTCAAAATCACGTATCTGACAAAGGATTAATATGCAGAATATGAGAAGATAACTCTGTATTCAACAATAAGAAAAGCAACAACCCTATTTAAAAATGGGCAAAAGATTTGAACAGAAACTTAAACTATAAGCAATGAAAAGAATGTTTAACATTAGTCATTATGGAAATTCAAATTAAGACCACCATGAGCTTTCACTACATATTTATTGAAATACTTACATTTAAAACATCTTTTTCTGGCAAGTATACAGAACAGTTGGAACTCACCTACTTTACTGGTTGGAATGCAAAACGGTAAAGCCAATTTGGAAAACAGTTGGCAGTTTCTTACAAAATTAAATACCTATTTACATAATGTCCCATCATTCCCACTTCAAAATATTTACCACAAAGAAATGTTCACATAGAAACCTGCATACAAATGTTTGTAGCAGCTTTATTCGTAATTGTCAAAAACTGGAAACAACTCAAATGTCCATCAGTTGTCTAAAAGATAACGGAACTGTAGTATATACTTAACAATAGAATGCTATTCAGCAATAAAAAGAAATGAAGTATTAGGACACACGAGGATGACTCTAAAATCCATTATGATGACAACAGCCCAGACTAGAAGGTTTAATTTCTGTGATATTTTGGAAAAAAATCTTTTGGGAAAGAGAACAGATAGGTGGTTGCAAGGATGTAAGTAGGGTTTGACTACACAGAACAGCCTAGGGTGATGGAATTGTTCTTCATCTTGTGTTTAATAACTCTGCTCATCTGTCAAAAGTCACAGAACTGGACACCAAGAAAGTAGAATTTTAGTGTATGTATATTTTACAATATCTTATATAAAAAAGATTTTTCCATGAATGTTCTTTTATATTTCAGGGTATGTATCTCTGGGGTGAATAAAATGTTACCTTTTCAAGTAGCATTTCTTAAATGATATGCAAATAGCATAAGTCTAAAGTTTTTCATTCTTATCACTTAGGTGTTGAAGTGCCATCAAAAGACTCTTTGCCAAAGAAAAGGCCAATTTATGAAGATAAAAAGAAGAAAAAAACACTACAGCAGCTAGAAAATAAAGAAGGTTTGTATACAAAGTGACCTATGACTTAAAAATATTTTGGGGGTGCCTGGTGGCTCAAGTCGGTTAAGCGTCTGACTTCGGCTCAGGTCATGATCTCACAGTCTGTGAGTTCAAGCTCCGCGTCGGGCTCTGTGCTGTCAGTTCAGAACCTAGAGCCTGCTTCGGATTCTGTGTCTCCCTCTCTCTCTGCCCTTCCCCCACTCAGGCTCTGTCTCTCTCTACCAAAAACTGAATAAACGTTAAAAAAAATTTTTTTAATTTTGTTTGACTTTCTCCTACAACATTCAAAACAATGTCTTTTAAAGAAACTGGAAATCAGAATTACATATTGAAACTTACTATACCTTATTTCCTATTATTGTTAATCATTCTCAGCTGATTTAAATGACAGGTTAATGGAAAAGTGCTTTTGTTCGAAAAACCTAGATTGTACCCAAAAACTATTCTTAATTATCATTCTTATTTTTTCTTTGTTTCCTTCTCAACCTTTTTGTAATTTTCCATTCTATTCCTTGAATAGAAAGAAACTCTGTTTCCTGTAAAATATATGACTGATATTTAAACATTTTCTAAATGTGCTGAAGAATTCAAGTTTGTACTATTGGTTTTTATTCAGTACTTAACAGAGTATCCTAACAGAAATTATGCACTGAAAAAGTATTGTTAACTTGGTTTCTGCCTTGTTTTCAGTGTCTGAACCAATAGAATTAAATGCTGCTGTAGAAGTGGTAGAACAAGGAGTACCAGAAAAGGAAGAGACACCACCTCCTGTTGAACCAGGCCAGTAGCACTGACTAATTGCTTCCTATTAAATAGCATTGGTGTGTCAGAAGTTGTCTAGTCATTATTAGTGTGGGGAAACCAAATATCTGACAGGATGGTCTTTTTCATACTTCTTTTCTCTAAACCATTCCTTTCCATTTCCATTTTGAAAAAGTGTAGGAGATTTGAGTCAGTTTCTTTTTAATAGTGTCAGTAAAATGTAGAGAGGATAGAAGTTTTTAGATTTTTTCTGATGTTTTCATTTTGGGTCAGAAATCTTAGGTGGTGCCAAGAAGACCTGAAGTTCTTTATTTAATCCTTTGGAAACAAATTGGTAGCATTTTAATGAGAACTATTTAAGAGTCATAAAAGTTGGCATTTTTAAACCTCCTTGGAGGTCAACTTCTATTTACTAAATCAACAAGAGGATTGTTTATTCATTGTGTGTGTGTGTGTGTGTGTGTGTTTTGAGGTTGGAGAAAAATCTTTGGCTTTTTTTTTTGTTTAAGATAAACATTGTTCTAATTCATTAGACTACGTATTGATAGAGCCAGAGGTTAACTAAATGTGTGGTAATAATATCAAGAGAAGCTCCATATTGTAAAGTTTGATTGGGAATAAAAAGCAAGAGAATGTCAAGACTGACCCACACTAGTGAAAGATATCATTTCTGGTTCCTTTCCTTCTTTCTCCCCTTCTGTTCTTGGTATAAAATGGATCATTTACTTGGCACAACTCAGCTTAACATGATGACATTAGAGGAATTCAGGTTGATACACTTAATAGCAGTTCATTATTTTAGGTGACATTTGTAGCAGTAGAAAGAATTGTTAATTTAGAAGGATGTTTTGGGTACATGTACCAGACTCATTTTCTTTTTCCTCAAGATGACTCAACCAAACTTGTTGTCAAGTAATAATTATTACAGGGAAGCAAATACCACATGTCCTATGATTTGAGAATAGTTTTGCTTTATTGGATTTCATAAAAAAGAGTCATTAATATTGAGAATATTAAATCTTGAATTCAAAATTATACCTTTCTGGATACTTTTGGATTGTCAGCAGATATTCTATTCTTATTTTCAACTGGAGTAGAGGTGTAGCTTTGTACCTACAGCTATATAATTTAAGTAGTATTTGTATGTACCTGTAGAGGTTAAAGCAATAAAATAAGTAGTAAATTCTTAGGTATGAAGTAGAAGTTTGAAACATCAAAATGGAGATGCAGTAAGTCCCCTCTTATCTGCAGGGGATATGCTCCAAGACACCCAGTGGATGCCTGAAACAGATAGTACTGAATTCTGTATATACTATGTTTTCTCCTTTACATACATAGATGTGATAGAGTTTAACTTATAAATTAGGCACGTAAGAAAAGAACAGTAATGAGTAATAACATGAACAATCAGAATGATATACTGTATGAAAAATTATGTGAATGTAGTCTTTCTCTTTTAAAATATTGTACTATACTCTTCTTGTGATGATGTGATATGACAAAACCCTCACATGATGAGATGAAGTGAGATGAGTGATGTAGGCACTGTGATGTAATGTTAAACTACTGTTGACCTCCTGACCATGTTAAGAAGGAGGATTGTCTGCTTCCAGACCACAGTTGACTGTGGGTAACTGAAAATGCAGAAAGCAAGACTAGATAAGGTGAGGGGACTCTTGTGAAATTTCATTTTTGCTCAAGAACCTAGGAGTACGACCATCTACCCTTTTCAAAATCTAACAAAACATTTAAATGTCTGAGTTTCTAATATTTTAATTATGTCAAATATGAAATCTGGATTAAGTGTAATTTCATGTATTCAAAATTCTGGGTAATTGTGCAGCATTTGATAATAGTAAATTAGAACATGCTAGCTATATTGAAAAAAATAATTCAAAGATAATGAGATTGTATATGTGTTTTTGCATAATGAAAACATTTTTAATGTCAGCATAATTTTCTACTTTTTTCTAAAAGCAATTCCCTATTTCTAGATGATTTCTAACAAAAATCTTTATTTACAGAAGAGGAAGAAGAAACTGAAGATGCTGGATTGGATGATTGGGAAGCTATGGCCAGTGATGAGGAGAGAGAAAAAGGTGAATAGCTTATAAGTACACATTGATAAATCTCGTGGTAATTAGAGGTGTGTATATTTAAAGGAATGGTCAGTCTTCTGATGATGAAAGCCATATGAACATTTCTGAGAATAAAAACCAGTCTTGATTTCTCCATTGCCATGGTTCCTAAATCCTTATGTGGATCCTCATTTTATGAATAAATGGTTTTTCAGAAGATCCTAGGATTTAAAATACATTTTTTCAGTGGCGCCTGGATGGCTCATTTGGTTGTGTCCCGACTCTTGATTTTACCTCAGGTCGTGTTCTCGTGGTTCACGAGTTCAAGCCCCACGTTGGGTGCCTGTCTCTGCCTCTCTCTGTGCCCCTCCCCTGTGTGCACACTCTCCCTCTCAAAAATAAACTTTAAAATATGTATACATATATATATATATTTCAGTATGATGTTATAAATGGGATTAGGTTATTAAAGGTAGCCTACCAAAAGCCCCTTTAACTTAAAACATAATACAAAGATAATGCAAGTAAATGGTACCTAATCAATGTGAATAAACAATTTTTCTTTGTCATTACTTTCTGTCATTTATTATTAAAGTCTACTTTCTTTGGTTTTAATTTCCTGATTTTTCCCCCTAACTTCTTAAATTTTTTTTTTTTTATACATTTATTTATTTTTGAGAGACAGAGAGAGACAGAGCATGAGCAGGGGAGGGGCAGAGAGAGGGAGACAGAATCAGAAGCAGGCCTCAGGCTCTGAGCTGTTAGCACAGAGCCCAACGCGGGGCTCAAACCCACCAATGGTGAGATCATGACCCGAGCCGAAGTCGGATGCTCAACCGATTGAGCCACCCAGGCGCCCCACTAACTTCTTAAAATGGATATTTGTTTATTTAGAGTTTTTTTCCTTAATATATGTGGGTGGTTTTTTTTTGGAAGTTTTCATTTTAATTACAGTTAATGTACAGTGTTATATTAGTTTCAGGTGTATGATAATGTTTCAACAGTCCTGTGTATCACCTGGTGCTCATCATAACAAGTGCACTCCGTAATCCCCATCACCTATTGAATTCACCCCTACCCTCTCCCCAGCCTCTGGTAACCATCAGTTTGCTCTCTGTAGTTAAGAGTATTTTTCTTGGTTTTTCTAGTTCTCTCTTTCATATGCCCTTTGCTTATTTGTTTTGTTTCTTAAATTCCACATATGAGTAAAATCATGATATTTGTCTTTCTCCGACTGATGTATTTCACTTAGTGTTAGACCCTCTAGCTCCATCCATGTTGTTGTTGCAAAATGGCAAGACGTCATTCTTTCTTATGGCTGAATAATATTCTGTTGTATATATATATTCCACATCTTCTTTATCCATTCATCTATCGGTGCATACTTTGGCTGCTTATATATTTTGGCTATTGTAAGTAATGCTGTTATAAACATAAGGGTACATGTATCCCTTTGAATTAGTGTTTTTGTATTTTTTGGGGGTAAGTGCCCAGTAGTGTCATTACTGGATCATAAGATAGTTATATTTTTAACTTTTTGAGGAATCTCCGTACTGTTTTCCACAGTGGCTGCACCAGTTTGCATTCCCACCAACAGTGCGCTAGGGTTCCTTTTTTTCCACATCCTGGCCAACACTTAATATATGTTTTTAAAACTAAATTTTTCTTTAAGCTTTAGTCCTATTTCACAAGTTCTGATGATATTTGTAATTTCCATTTTAATATATTTTACCTGATTTATAGAAATGTAGTTTTTAATTTACAAAAGTGGGATTTTCTGATTATTTTCTTGTTACTTCATTGAGATCACAGAACATAAATGTATCTTTTTGAAATATGTTGAGAGGGGCGCCTGGGTGGCTCAGTAGGTTAAGCATCTGACTTCAGCTCAGGTCATGATCTGGCAGTTAGTGAGTTTGAGCCCTGTATCAGGCTCTGTGCTGACAGCTCAGAGCCTGGACCCTCCTTCAGATTCTGTGTCTCCCTTTCTCTCTGCCCCTTCTCTCCTTGCACACTGTCTCTCTTTCTCTCTCTCAAAAATAAATAAACATTAAAAAAATTGAAATATGTTGAGAATTAATTTACAACGTAATACATGGTTGATTATTGTAAATGTTTAATATGTGATTGGAAGGAGTTTATATTCTGCAGTACTGTGTGCCTTGTTCTCTATAGAGTTAACCCTTGAACAACATGGATTTGAACTCCAGGAGTTCACTCACATGCAAATTTTTTTTTTTTTAATAAATACAATGCTATAAATATATTTCCCTTTAGATTTTATTCATAACATTATTATTTCTCTGGTTTATTTTATTATAGGAATATAGTATGTAATACACATAGCATAGAAAATATGTGCTAATCAACTATTTATGTTATTACTAAGGCTTACGGTCAGTGGTAGGCTATTAGTAGTTAGGTTTTTGAAGAGGCAAAAGTTATACATGAATTTTTGACTACGCAGGGCGACAAACATCTCTAACTTCCACATTGTTCAAGGGTACACTGTTTTTAATCAGATTTGCTTATCATTTTGTTCAAGTGTTTCTTATTCTTTTTTTTCTGGAGTGCGTTTTTTCTCTGTTACTGAGAGAGGTGGGTTAAAATCTCCTGCCCTAATTGTAAATTGTCTGTTTCTCCTTGAGTTCTGTTAATTTTGTTTAATATATTTTAGTACTTTATTATTAGGTGAGTACACTCATTTTTTGATGGATTGATGCACTGATTTGTTATTCTATTATGTTTTATTTATATTTTTTTATTTCTAGTAATGCCTTTTGCCTTAAAGTATACATGATATGGCTATACCAGCTTTGATTCACATGATATTTTTCTATTTTTATTTTTCTGTCTCCTTAAATAGCACATATTTGAGATTTTTAAATCCAGAGTGTCAGTCTTTATATTTTACCTAGACCACTTAGCCCATTACATTTAACCCTTGATGTAATTAATGAAGTATACTTACTATCTTTATCTTATTTAGTCCTTATTCTGTTTCTTTTTTTCTCCTTTCTAACTGTTTTTGGGATTGGGTTTTTTTGTTTTGTTTTTAATTCCATATTTTCCTCCTTCCATGAGCTTGGAAGTTGTATACTCCTCCACTTACTTTTAGTGGTTACTCCAGGATAAAAGTATCCTTTTTAACAAAGATATTTGAACTATTAGTGTTTAATGTTACCCTCTTTCCAGACAGACAATGCATACCACAGAATACATGAAGAACATTTATCTACTTCTCAATTTATATATCATTATTCTCATTTGTTTTAATTCTCTGTTTTAAATCCCATAATAGCTTAAGTTTATTCACATTGTAAGCTTTTTGTTGTGTTTCATTTCTTTTTGTGTCTCTGACCTTCCATTTGAGATTATTTCTTCTGGCCTGAACAACACCTTTTAGAATTTCCTTTAGTATGAATCTGTTAGTGAGGCATTCCATTTTTGCTTTTCTAAAAATACCATTATCTCATCTTAGTTCTTGAAGGGTATATTTATTGGGTGAGGACCTCTTTGTTGAAATTCTCTTTAACATTTTAAAAATACTATTCCCTTGTGTTAGCTTTCATGGTTTCTTTTGAGAAGTCAGATATCAGCCTAAAGTTTTCATGTGTCTTTGGCTTTCAGCAGTTTTATTATGATGTGGCCAGGGTCAGTTTCCTTTTATTTATTCTGCCTATAGAGCTTTATCAATGTATGGTTTTATGTTTTTATCCATTTTACAATGTTATGAACCATTATTTCTTCTCAGGGATTCTAGTTATGCCTTTGATATACCTTCCTGTTATATCAATGTGTCGTCTTTTCTGTGTTTTTCACATAATTGAATTTCCATGGTTCTTTCTAGATTGTTTCTTCTCATCTGTCTTCTGGTTCACTAATTTTCTCTTCAGCTGTTTCTCCTCTCCTGTTAAACCCATCTTTTGGGTTCCTAGTTTTGTCTCCAGTGTTTTCTAGTTTTAGATATTCCATTTAACTATTTTTTATAGTTCTTTACTTTCTAAAGTTTTTAATCTTTTGCTCCCTGGATGTTAGAAACATAGTCATTTTTAAATTTTGGTTTTATAACCTCAATGTATAGACATTTTGTGGTTTTCTGTATGCTGGCTTCCATCCTGTGATTCGTTTTTTCATGTGACTCATTATTTTCATATATTGTGCTGGATATTATACTTGTAAAACTGCAAAATAATTTGAGGTCAAGGATGGTGTTTTCTTTCTCCAGAGAAAATTATGTGTACAATCCACCAGGAGTCTGAATGAACTAGCAATATGGAATCATCTTATTCCAAGTTTAGAATTGATAGAATCTGGAGGTGATTGGCCAATAACAGGGAGGTCCTGTTTGTTTTCTATTCATTCTAACTGCTAGGGTGCAGTTCTCCAGGATTTTACTCCACAATAAAGAGTAGTCAACCTTACCCCCCTGAGTCCTTAATAGGCCCAATACCTGGACCCCTAAGCACTGCTTAAGCTCACCTTCTCTAGAATCAGCAAATGACCATTGCTTCTCTTCCTTTGTGCTAAGACCAAGTGAAGAATCAGCAAATGACTCCAAGGGAAAGAAATTGTAAGCATTTTGTTCCCCTCACTGTGTTCCTTTTCTGTCTTTAGGTTGTCTTAGTAATATATTAAGTTTTTATTGTTAAATGGCAATCTTCATTGTAACATGTTGACCAATGCTTTACTTTTATGATGCATGAAAACAATTTAGCATTAATGATGTTTTATAATGTTACTGCCTTACTTAGTGCACCCTTAGTATTTCCCCTTAATCTTGACAGAAATCTCCATTTTTAACTTTCATTTATTTTAAAATCTTTTTTACTCAAAGAAGAAAACACGGTGCATATAGAAGTAAAAGAAAACCCTGAAGAAGAGGAGGAGGAGGAGGAAGAAGAGAGTGAAGAGGAAGAGAGTGAAGAGGAAGAGGAAGAGGAAGGAGAAAGTGAAGGCAGTGAAGGTGATGAAGAAGATGAAAAGGTGTCCGATGAGAAAGAAGCGGGGAAAATGTTAGATAAAAAACCAAGTAAAGAAATGAGTTCAGAATCTGAATACGACTCTGATGATGATCGAACTAAAGAAGAAAGGGCTTATGACAAAGCCAAACGGAGGATTGAGGTATTTATTTTCCCGTTTGCCTTTCTCTTTACTCCTTTCCTCCCCACTCCTCTAGGATCATTAGAACTATCCTCTGAACTAAAGACAATGTGGTACTGGCATGAGAACAGATAATACAGGTGAATGAAACAACTGAAAGTCCAAGAATAAACCCTCATCTTTCTGGCCTATTGATTTGTTGTCAAAGATACCAAAGCAATTCAGTGGGAAAAGGATACCTTTCTCAACCAAATGATGCTAGTTAAATTAATAAAAAGTTTAGTCTCTGACCCCACATCATACCTAAAAGTAATCTTAGATCAGAGATAGAGCTAAAGATGTAATAAACTAAAGGTATGAATTTAGAAAAAATGCAGAGGAAAATATTTATGACTTTGGGTTAGACAACAGGTCTTTGACACTGATCTAACCCAAGGACCTTACTCCCTGACCTAAGTCATAATGGTATACTGCTTCATCATATATTTCTTGTTTTCTTTAAATTTTTATGTGCTCTTGGAGTGATGGTTTACTCTGAGCACATACCTTCTAGTCATAAACACTAAGCTAGTGTTTGCCTTGTATATTTTAGGTAGTTGCTGTGAGGCATCTGATCACTTTAGTTGTTTAAATCTGGTGGGTTACTGAGGCATCTTTCTATTTAGTAAAGTGTACATACCTACCAGGCTTACTATATTTTTCCTATGTAATGCAGTAGACTTGAGAGTTTTCTTCAATTCTGTCAGCTTAGTATAAATAATAACAATAAAAACTAGTTTTCTTGAGGGTGCTAAACTGTTTTAAAGCTAAAAATTATTTTAGCTTTTCTTTGTTAAAAGGGGTGCCTGAGTGGCTCAGTCAGTTGAGTGGCCAACTCTTTTGATTTCGGCTCAGGTCATGATCCCAGGGTTGTGGGATTGAGTCCTGTGTCAGACTCTGCTCTGAGTATGGAGCCTGTTTTAGGTTCTCTCTGTCTCTATAATAATAACAATAATAATAATAATATATATTTTTTCATTTATAATCCTAATTTTTAAATTTTTTTGTTTTGATAACCTGTATGTCAGTGTTTGCCTCTTTGCTCTGTGAAGCCTACAAAGGGATACATTTTCAGAATTTCTTAAGAAGGTCTGTTGATTTAAGTTTGATTTCTCACCCTATCACTATTGACAGTTTTAGGTAATATAATTCTGTTTTGGAAGATAGTCCTCTTCATTTAGGACATTATACAGCATCCCTTCCCCCCACCCACTAGATACCAGTGGCATTCCCTTCTCTTTCCCATTATAACTGCAGCTTCCCATAGCACTTAACTCAAGCCAATTGTCTTGCTCTGTACCCATTTGTGAGAGACAGTTCGTACTGTGATCATTTAAAAACAATGGGTATAAAGCAGAAAGTAAAAGTTTCCCCATTATCTCACTTCCCAGACCTGTTCATAGTTCTGTACATGTTCAGGTTTTTTAAAATGTTTAGTTAAAACTAAGAGGCACCTGGGTAGCTTAATCAGTTAAGCATCTGACTCTTGATTTCAGCTTGGGTCATGATCTCACAGTTTGTGAGACTGAGCCCCGCATCAGGCTGCCTGCTGACGGTGTGGAGCCTGCTTAGGATTTTCTCTCTCCCCCTCTCCCTCCCTGTCTCCCTACCCCTCCCCAACTTGTACTGTCTCTCTCAAAATAATAAACATTAAAAAAAAGATGATAAATTTTGTAGGTACATATTCTTTTCTTCACATAATATGCTATGGACCTCTTAGCACAATAGTTTTTTTAAGCAGCTTTGTTGAGATATCTACATATCAAAGAATTGATCCATTTTAAGTGTACAATTCAGTACAATTTTGTAAATTAGAGTTGTTCATCTATTGTTACAACTCAACATTAGAGTATTTTTATCACCCCAGGAAGATTTCTTACACCAATTTGCATCATTCCCTATTCCTAGTCCTACATATACAGCAGTTCCTGTGCCCACCCTCCCTGTCCCCTCATCTACAGTTTTGTTTTCCATGGTGTGGTCAGTTGCATTCTGGAAGCAGATGATCCTCCTCTTGATGTATTGTCAGAGGGTCAGTAGTTGCCTAACACTATGTCATTCACCTTACTTCATCTCAGTACATAGGCATTTCATAATCTCACATCATCATAAGAAGAAGGGTGAGTGCAGTACAATAACATACTTTGAGAGAGACCATATGTACAGAACTTTTATTGTGGTATATTGTTATCCTCGTATTTTATTACTAGTTATTATTAATCTTTTACTGTGCCTAGTTTACAAATTTATCATTGATATGTATAGAAGAAACATGGAGTATATATAGGGTTTGGTACTATCTGCAGTATCAGGCATCCACTGGGGGTCTTGGAATGTATCACCACCCCTTGGATAAGGAGGGACCGTTGTAAATTCAGTCATATAATATATGTTTTTTTGTGTCTGGCTTATTTTACTTACCCTGGTTATCTGTGTGGTAGCTGTATCAGAATTTTGTTCATTTTTATTGCCAAATAGCGTTTTGTTGTATAAATATACCATATTTTATTATTATCTATTCACTAGAGGACAGAGTTGTTTCTACTTTTTGGCTATTATGAATAGTACTGTTATGTACATGCATTTGCATATGAATCTTTGTATGGAAATGTGTTTTCATTTGGGGGGGGAAGGGTGGGAGTATGTACTCCTAAGAGTGAAATTGCTGGATAATATGGTAAATTTGTGTTTAACTTTTTCAGAAACTGTTAAACTCTTTTCCAAAGTGGCTGCACAATTATAGATACCAACCATTTGAAGGTTCTCTGTATCCTCACTAATACTTGTTAACCTTTGTCTTTTCAATTATAGCCATTCTAGTGGATATGAAATAGTATATATCTTATTGTGGTTTTATTTATTTATTTATTTATTTTTTTTAATTATTTTTTTTTTTTCAACATTTATTTATTTTTGGAACAGAGAGAG